GGGGTGGGGGAGCGGAAAAAAGAAAAGAGTGAGAGAGAGGGGGGGGTGAATTGTAAATGGATATTGTCGTACAAAATCGGTTGTGTTGTAAATATACTCAGGGGGCTCTCGTGGCCTAGAGGTTAAGGTGTTGGCCTCTCATTCAAAGGTCCCGGGTTCGAGTCCGGGTAGCGACCGAAAAATGTTCTTCTCTAAAATTGTCTCCTTTCACCTCCTTTCCTGCTCTCTAGCAATGTTCTGTTGTCTACTTTCATTTCCACTTTCTGCCCCCAACCCCCTCACCTCCTTTGCCCCTTCCTCTGGGCTCCTGACTTTTTCTGCAGCCTTTCTACTGCTACTCATTGGCTCCTCCTTACTGCTGTCTTTCTGCCACACCCCTGATCTTCTGGTAGGAAAGATCTACACCTAGTCTTCTCGGGCAAGGGCGAAAAATCTCGGAGGACCCGTGAGCAAGTTGCGCACATTAAAGATTCCTTGGTGGTCTAAAATCGATAAGAGTAGGCTTCGGCCGCCACCCGGGCAAAATTCAAAATTTCCTACCAGCTGAAAATATTAGGTGTGTCCCGCGCGCCCAAATAACCTTATGCAGTTGCGAGCGCCGTAAAACACTTTACAAAATTACAAAATAATATACACGCATGAAATATCTTCTTGTCCTCTCTTCCCTTCTCCTCTTCGTCCTTTTTTTTTTGGGGGGGGGGGGGTAAAAACTTTATTGTGTTGCAAGTGCCGTAAGACTCCTATCTACTGACACTAAAGTTGCTCATGGTCTGCCTCTGCCTCATTTGCCTTCACTTTTGCCATGACCAGCCACAGAAAACTGTTACCCTTTATCTTGTAATCATTCCCCCAACATGAGTGGTCGGCGGGTGCTCTGGTGTTGTTTGCTCTTTCTTTCCTATCAAACGTCCTGATCTCTCCTACTTCTTTTTTTATGTTTGTTACTCTCTTGTAACACCTCTAATCTTCTGGCGCTCATATGACATAATGCAGTTGCGAGCGCCGTGAAACCTACTAAAACTAAACTAAACGTATAAACTAAAAACTCCCACTAACACTTATGTTGCTCCTGGTCTGCCTCTGCCTCGTTTTCCTTCACTTTTACCATGACCAGCAACAGAAAACGTTTACCCAAC